GTCAGGCGACTCCCCCACACATCGACATTGGCTGGATTCGTGTTTCCTTTGTTGGACAGGCATGGTCCTGTAATTTTGTGAATGGGCGAGAGGTGGGAGTGTACACCATTCTGTTCAAAAAGGTTCTGGCTTCAGTTATGAAGGAATTTCTGAAAGGAAATGGGACAGAGAGATGGAGAGAAGGGAAAAGGTTTCAGCAGATGACTTGGAAGTGAGTCGTTGTGAAATGTCTCCTTTATTTGTGAACATTGCTAAATGTGTTGACTCTATTTCAATTCCTTTACATATCATTCCCATTTATGAGTAACGATGTGTGTTTATGTGTGTGTGTGTGTGTGTGTTGACAATTGGACCTACTCTGATTTCAACATCACACAGTTGGATGTGGGGTGGGGAGGTCCCAATTCCCAGCCAAGATCCCTGACTTGTTTGCTCAAACATCGAGGTGTCCCTGAACCTCTCCAGAGCAGGGGTATAAATGGGATCACACAAACCAAAGCCACATCACAGAAAAGCTCAAAGATCGGACAAGCCAAGTCGAGATGGGCAGTGGTCAGATGAAAACCCGACTGGTCCTGGTCACTCTGATGCTGCTGGTCTTCATTGAGATGAGCCAGTGCCTCACAATGTCCAAGGTGAGCAAAGATACGACATTCTCTGTTGTTGTATTTATAACGTTCATAACTGAATAAATCACCCAGAAAGACCAGCTGCTAGGCAATAGGGTGTTATGTGTTCATGATTTAAAACTTGTCTCTGTTTCAATTTGGAGTCTTTATCTTCTGTTTGTTTCCTTGTTTGTCTCCTTTGTATTTTCACACTTCAAATCCCCCATCTCTGTACACTCCTCCAGCCCCTACAACCCTACGTATCTCTGCACCCTCCTCCAGCCCCGTCACCCCTCCCAATCTGTGTAACCCCCTCAAGTCCCCAACACCGCTCCCATTCTCTGTCACCCCTTCCAACCCTTACATCCCCTCCCTATCTCTGAGACTTCTTCCAGTCCCTACATCACTCCCTATCTCTGTGACTTCGTCCAGTCCCTGCACCCCTCCCTATCTCTGTAACCATCTCTTGCTCCGACATTTCGGTCCCTAAAACATTTTTGACCTTTCTTTCTCCCGAACCTGTTTTTTCCTTTCAGCTCTCAGTCTGCTACAATGTGTGTTGATAATTTCTCTCCTGTTACAGATTGAGAATGGGCAAGATTCCCTGATGACTGAGAATTCGCAGGCCTCTCAGGGTGAGGTAAGTTGAAAGTAATTCTGTATTTTCAACTGCCTCCCTGCCTGCATTTCTGCAGGATGTGTCTCAATTTCCATCTATGTGCAGTTCGCAGAAGTAGGCCATTCAGCCCATCAATCTGCTCCAGCATTCAATGACATCACGGCTGATCTGATCATCCTC